GGAAGCCAAGCTGGGGCACTAAGTACAAGCTTCTAATTTAGGTTGAAATGGGATGACTTCTAAGGTAGGAAACTTACATGGTCAGAATTCACAACAGAATCGGAGGGTCAGCACCAGAGTACTGACAACGGAAACAGTATGAGGTGGACAGAGAAGACACGAGGCTACGAAGACCCTGAGGTTTGACGGAACAGATAAGCCACCTGTGGTGGAGGACGAAACTGCTTGCTGGGGTCCTTCCTCCTCGGTTCACATCCATGGAGCTCCTCTTCTCCTGCCATCCGAGCCTGGGAGGAAGCTGCCTCCCGTGGGAAGGTAAGCAGCTTGGGGGGCTTAGTCTTTCCAGGCTGCAAGTTCAGAAGCACAGCCAGCAGCACGCGTCATGACCCAGACTGTGTTCTCAAAGTCAGAACCCCTTCCCCAACCTGGCTCACAAACATCCTTTCAACTCTGTACCCAGAAGACATTTCTTGGGATGCAAAGTCCTCTTATGAGCTTGGGTTGTACCTGAGTTAGTGTCTGACTCGAAAATTAAAAAAAAAAAAGGAACAAGCATGGCCAGGCATGGTGGCGCACGCCTTCAATCCCAGCACTCAGGAGGCAGAGACAGGTGGATCTCTGTGAGTTCGAGGCCAGTCAGGGCTACAGAATGAAACCCTGTCTAAAAGCAAAATACAAACCCAAAACAAACCCTACCAAGTATGCTGCAAACCCTGATCTCCTCAACCCAAGCATCCAGTCAGAGTGACAGAGAAAGCCCCATCAAAAAGCACGGAGCGTTTATTCATAATCTACACAAAACAAAAACACAGCAAGTCAGGGTGTTTTCCTCAACCAGCCTTTCCACATTTTGTTCAGTTTCCGTGAACTATAAATCACTGACTTCTTCACACCTGCAAGAGAAAAAGAAGTGTGGGTGAGAAAATGAGCCTTGTTCAGCGGACACGTAGCTAGGGTGCCAGTGTCGCTCTGACCGGAGGCTTGTCTTTGGATTGGGGCTATCATGGGCTGACTGGACACTCCTAAGAACCTGGGAGCTGAAGGCCAAGAGAGACGTGTGGCAGAGATTCTGAGCTGGGCCTCTGTTGTACATACAATGCTGCTCATGGAACTAGACTTCCTGGGATAGCAAGTCTTTGAGTTACGGGGGGTACTGGCGGGAACATAAACAGGGGGAACTGTTTATGTTCACAGGTCTTTCAGAAGAGAGGAACACCTGCACCAGCCTCGGCAGCTTGCTGCTTCTGTGACCCACACAGGCCTCCTGTCTGCCTAGAACAAACGCTGTTCTCACTATTTCCGGCTTAGGACGTTTGCCAGGTTGCTCTCGCGCCTGGTGCTCAGCTCTCCCCTAACATTTACCACACTGTACAGTGTTTGGAGCTGATTCTCCTGCCTCTCTGCCTAGACTGACAGCTCTTCCAGGAGAGGGACCTTGTTCAGTCACCCTGTGTCCCTTGCACCTGGTGCAGTACCTGCTCCCCAGCAACACACAACAGGCACTCAGCTGAGGGAAGGCCGGCCCTCACAGCCCTGACCTCATCCCAACTACAAGACCCCAGAGAAGAGGCTCGCTGGGGCTGATGGGAAACACATACAAAGGGATCAGCGGTAGGCGGGGGTTCTCCAGCTCCGCCAGTGGACGTTATTACAGATCTGACTTCCTTGTGTTGAGGGTGAGGTTGCCCAGTGCTTTAGGGTGTGGCCTGAGAAGCTGAGGCCTTTTTCTCTTGGAGTTGTACACTGTGATCTGTGCTGAGGTTGGAAGAGCATGCTCCTGGCTGTGGGCTTGGTGAACACGTTGACAGGGGGGCACGATTCATTCCAGGGAGTGATCTTCTGAACTATCTGGCCCTGTTACCTGGAAGTGCCTCGCCCGTGCGGAACCTGGGCGACTGCAGGCAGTGACAGAGAAAGGCAGGGTTCCCAAAATCATTAGTGAGGAGTCTGGATGCGTGCTCCTGGCTCGACATGATCTTGTTGAGAAACTCAGAGCGTTTTCACTGCCTCCACCCCTCTTAATTTTCTCCCTGGAGCAATGACTCTGGCCAGCCTCACCCACCTGAGCACTGGGGCTGGACGAGCATTACATAAGGTGCTGTTTTTAATTCCAGCGGAACCAACCAGAAGACCAGTGGAAGCCAGGGAGTCACACATGCAAGACTCAGCGCGGCCAGCCCGGGCTGCTGAGTCACGGCTAGAGGCCTTCAGCAAGCTCAGTGACAAGCTCCTCCGAGCCGGACCGGCAGGTAAACACTGAACACAGCTGAGTGGCCACCTTCGGCTGCTGAGAGGACCGAAAGCCTCCCCTGACTGAACACACTCCCTCCTTCAGCTCTGTCAGAAAGGCTGCAGCAGGGAACCGTGCTAGGAAGAGCAGAGGCTTGGGTTGTGGGCGCGGCGGCACTAGGAGTGTGACCGTGACTTTCCCTTTCTGGGCCCCGTTTGGAGGCTGCTACCCTAGGTAACAGAGGGTCCAGCCACAGACAGGCTTGGCTGTGAATGCGAGCTCCCAAAGCTGCAGGAAAGTTGGCTGTGTTTATGTGTACTTCCATGCTGAGGGGCCAGAGGCCAAACTTTCACGGGCTCTGTCTGTGGCCATACCACCCGGAAAGTGCTCAATCCCACCAGGTTTTCACAGGCTCTGAGGTGTGCGCAAGGTTAAGAACAAACAGGTTAATTTCAGCAAAGGCTTTAGTTTTCAACCATCAATTTCATAAAATTGAAACAGGCCAAGCGTTCCTCAAAGGACAGACGGCAGGGTCTGTGAAGCACAGGGAACAGGTCGGTGACCCTGACTGGGAAAGGGGAAAGCCCCTGAAGAGGTCACGGAGAGTGCCGAGTGGACTCCAGGGTGGGTTGTTTGTATTAACCACGTCCGACAGAACTGGACTCCAGGGGCTGCTGAACTCTACTCTGAGGTGTGTGCTCAGTGCTCAGCATGCAAGGGGCCCTGGTCTAGTAACAAAGACAGGCCAAAGGAGAGAGAGAGAGAGAAAAAAAAAATCCATCTAGACCGCACATTCAATTCAGAAAGAAAAGCCTCAACAAGAAGGGGCCATTAGCGCAGGCCATTCTCCAGAAACCACTCTAAGGCAGGGGTGTGCCTCGGCTGTTCAAACCTCTAACCTGCAAGTCTATATTCACACCTTCAAGGAGAAAGCCGGTGAGCCTCCAAATACTTGCAGTGAGTTCCAAATGAAGCCCTATCCACAGGGGAAAGGTCATCTGAGGCAGAGCTACAACTTACTCTGACAAGTTTTAGATTTAGCTGGGTGTGGCAGTACACTTCTACAATCCTAGACCTCAGAGACCAAAGCCAGAAGAGCTGAGTTCACTGCAGCCTCAGACACAGAGACCCCGATGGGAGGGGGGGGGAGGGAGGGTAGATGTTCAGGATTAAGTGATAAACATTAGAAAGGCGATGCAAAAAGAAAATAACCATGGCTCCACTGTGTTTCAGGAAAGGGCTGAGAAGCAGTGAGGCATGCTGGGATATTTTTTAGGGACAAGACTAAACCTGTCTTGTTAATTCAGCTGAATCTTTTGAAGTTGGGAGAGGGATCTGCCCCTAAGTTAATTCTGACTGACCATAAAGACAGGTGGGGGAAATCAGAAAAGAGCCTTCCCAGCCCCCGGCTCCTCAGAGGGCGGCCCCACCGCCTCCCGAGGCGGGAACTTTTTGAGTTGAGCCTGACTGCTTGCCTCTGCACTCCCGTGCCCCAGACACTCCATTCTGGGCGCTCGTCTCTTGTCTGTGCTGCCCTGGACTGGGCTCGGGCTGCAGGGCTCCCTCGGGGGCTGGCTGGCTGGCTGTAACCCTGTCTGCGGGTCTCTCTGGCAACAGCTCTCCCCTCTCCATCTGCTGCTGCTGCGGTCTTCCAACATGGGCCAGGCGCTTCCCTCTGCCCTCAGGAAGCTCTGTACTCCTGAAGGCTGAAGGCAGCTTTGGGGCCATCCTCTGGGGGGCTCTGGCCTATCTCGCAGGCTGGTCACTGCCTCTCCCATTTATTACCTACCTGTCCCCACACCAGCTTCGGCTGTCTCTGGCCGGGCAGAGACACTCTGTAATGGGCTGCTGCTCAGACAGTGACAGTCGGCTTAGCTAGTCTTTCGTTAGCAGAGATGTGATACCCTCCACGACAAAGTACTTTCTTCAGGGGCACCCTGCTGGCCTCAGTCCTTCATGACCCACAAAACTTGAGGAGAGCCCTGCTGCTCTGCTAACAACATGGTCTAAGCGAGACGGAGATCAGCTCCTAAAGAAGAAACTTCCAGAGAAGAGGAACAGAATATTTCTGTACTCAACAAGAACGAGTGTGTGTGATGGGGAGAACTACAAAGGGAAGCCATGAAGACAGAGGGGTCGGGCCCACACCACACTGGCCACGCTTCCCAACACAATCTGAGGGGCTGGTTACAGATGTCACAGCATACACAGAGGCCAGGAGCAAGGCCAGAAGACCCACAGAACTACAGGACTCATCCTTTCCTACAGTTTCCACAGCCTATGGGCTCCCACAGTGCAGTGTGGGCCCCTTGGAAAGAAAGGTGGAGCAAGTCATTGTCCTGAGCCTCGAGGGAACCCGGGCGGCAGGTTCTGCTGCACTGCCCTCTGCTGGCGAACAGAAGGAATTGGTGGAAAGAGGACCCGGGCCTGGCTCAGCTTGGAGGTTATCAGGAGGTGGGGCAGGGATTCTCACTGATTATCTCACGCCTATCCAATCTTCACTATTCAAACAGGAGAAGCAATTTTTGGGTTTATTTTGGTGTGTGTTATGACGGGACCATTATTCAGTTTTTACAGAGGCTGCTTTTCTCAGGAAGACATTGCCACAACTGAAGTTACTTTCATTAAAATCAGGCACACAATGGGATGAAGGATGAAATCCTTCAGTTTCTCCACTGTTTAGACCCAAAGTGCCAAAAAATTTTAAGTGACAAACAGTATGGTTCTACCTCACAGTGTACGTGGATGGAGCAGAAGGTAAAGCTTCTCATTGGCCAAAGGAGTCCAGCTAAGAAAAATAGTTTGGTTTTTCTAGAATCCCCCACCCCTAAATCTTTAATTACAGAAAGACTCAAACATACTCACAAACTGACATTAACAGACAGAAATTCCAGCATTCAGAGGGTCACCCTGTTCCACACAGCAACATACTGTCTCTCAAAAAACCAACAAGGTCTGGATGTGGCTCAGTTCGAACACATGCCCAGCATGAACGAGGCCCTGGATTTGATCAGCACTACATAAACCCAGGTGTGGCGGTGCACACCTGTTATGTCTTAGTACATGGGAGGTGAGGCAGGAGGATCAAGAGTTTGAGGTCATCCTTGGCTACATAGCAAGTTTGAGGCTGGCCAGGGCTATACGATACCCTGTCTTAACTAAAAAATACAAATACTGACAGAATAGCAGAATATTGATACAGCCCTACTTATCTTTACTGGGTTTCAACAACACACCAACTCAGAAACAATCCAGAATCCACTACCTTCCATCATTTATTATAAAGCAAATCTCAGGTATCATATTATTTTATCCATAAATATTTCTGCATGTCTCTCTGAAAGAACAAGATTAAAAGACAAACCCAATAACACCATTATTACAACTAAAAGCATTAAATGTTCCTTCTAGGAAGTCCCCGCTCAGGAAAATCAATCTGTAAGTCTCGCTCAAGGATGATCATGAGAAGGAGCAGCCAGCCACAGGCACAACACAAATCCAGAGCCTGATTCACCCAAGCAAACGAAAGCACCCCCATGTCGGCCTTGCCAGGGCACACTAGCAGGAGCACAGAGTAAGTGACTACCTCAGTTAGAAACACACGGCTCCGCCCCGAGTTGTGGGAGATCTTTTCTGCAGCCGACTTAGTGTTTACTACTGTTGAAACCTGGCCAGGTCTTTCCACAGCCTCAGGAGGGCAATGCTGTATCCTGGGAACAAGTACTCCAAGCGGCATGCACTGGGCTGTGAGACTCTAAGAAGTATGGCCACACCAGCTCCAGGGCAGTCTCACACCCAAGGAGCAGGTCCAGGGTGAAGGGCCACTCGGTTTGGGAGCTACCCCTGTCCCATTTCCATTACCATGTGTGTCTGTCTCCTTCTCCAGCTCAGGAGGCAGGATGGCCAATGCCCACCTTCATATCCTGAGCAGCCAGCCCAGGACAGATGCTTAACACACGGGTCTCTGAACAACGATGATGATACTGAGTGCTGGGAAGGGGGGAGAAAGAAGATTTCCCACACCCCACTCTTGGGCAGAGCCACTCTGGGGGGCAACTGGCAGTATCTGAGGCTACATCTGACGAAAGTGCTGGAAATAAAAAACAAAGGAGCAGGGCCAGGGAAGGAACTCAGTGGGAAAGTACTTGTACAGCGTGTGACACCCAGCACCCCCCCACATGACACCCCCACACCCACCCCACACCCCACACCCCCACAGACCTGCGGGATCAGAACCACAGTTGAGAAAACCTCCCAGAGAGCAAGGGAAAAAGACCACAAGGCTAACACATGGGGACAAGAGAAAGAGCAACCCCTGGTCTAGGCGCGCCAGCATCTGGATAAAGGACTCTGAGAAGAGGACTGAGAAACAAATGGGGGAGGAGAGACGATTCTGGGTTTCCCCACTGAGAGAGTGGCCAGGAAAAGAGATCAAAACAATCACATCACAGCATGCCACTGAGCCTCCAGAGCCCCGGGCAGAAGGAAGACTCCACAAGCTTCCAGAAAGAACACACACGATGGACTAAGGGGCAGCAAGGCTTTGAACTTCAACGGTAGTCTGAAAAGTGAGGGAATAATTGCAGTAATTATTTCAAAATTCTGCCTCCCCTCCCCTCCCTTTTCTGCTCGGAAACAGGGTCTTGCTATGGAGACAAGGATGGCCTTGAACTGTGAGTTCCTGGGTGCTGGGATCACGGTGTGCCACCAGACCCAGTGACCTCAAGGTTTGAAGGGCAGTTACTTGTATTCTCTACCCGGCCTAACTGCTAACTCCGTGTAAGGATAGAGAGAGAAGGTTTCACGCACACAGTCTGCAGATTCAGCCTTTTTCCGGAACCTGCTCATCCACAGGACACTGTGCACGCACCAAGAGAGGAAAAGGCACAGAGAGGGGCCAGGCAGAAGCCACGGGGCAGCCAAAGACACTCCCTGGGGCAGAGGAGGAAAAGCACACCACGTGCCACATCTCAGCGTTGAACCTTCAGTAATGACTGGGAGTAGTACTGAGGCAGGAGGAAGGCCGTGAGTGGGCGGGCCGGACAGGAGGACAGGGACAGAAGAGAGGACATAACTGGTAGCCCAAGCACTGCCTTCTGATTACCCACAGGAGATGGCCCTAGAGCTGGAGAGCAGAGGAATGGTAACAAATCCATTACTCAGGGAACAGCAGGGAAAGAAACCCCTCACTGAGGGCCTGAGAGCCCAGCAGGTCTCCGTGAAGGGGTGCTGGGGAGGGGGGGTGTTGGGGAGGGGGTGCCCGGCACCACTGCTTCAATATAGGAATGTGAGGGCGTGACCCCCACACAGGGGCTCTCAGAGGGACAAAGAGGAGAGGCCCAGCCTCCTGCCAGCACCTCAGACAGGGACCTGGTAGATGTGCAGGGCACACTACAGTCACAACCGTGTCTAGGGTACTGCAGGGCCCCGGTGTAGGGTGGTGAAGCGTGAGGGGTTCACCAGTAGAGGGGAGAGGCATGTGCAAAGCTTTGTAAGCCATTCTGTCCAGCAGGCACCCCACGGGCGCCTATCGCCAAAACGCTTACCGGCAGTAAAAATGCCTTTGGTGCTCTGCCTGATGCTCGAAGGCCTGACGATTGACGAGACCCCTGCGAAACACAAAAACAAAAGGACATCAGGAGAAGCCGGGCGGATGGCTGTCACCTGAGCAGTCTTAAAAATCCGAGAGTAGGTATCTGCAGCTTCCCAACAGCACTAGCGGGGGAGTGCTGTCCCCGTGGAGAGCGACTCTGACTACGGTGTTAGAAGAGAGGCTGGGCACTAGGGAGGGCAGCTGGGGGCAGCCTGAGCTGTGTGACCACCGGCAAAGGCCCGGGCTGCTGTACACCTTGGCCACCTCAAAACAAGAGCGGTGGCGGGTGACCCTCAAAGGTTATCTTAGGAGTTTAAAGCTGCTTGGGTCTTCTAGTTCTCAGTTCCAACCAAGATGCAGAAAGATTTAAAGAAATGTTTCCTTCTTATCTAGGAGAAAAGCATCCACTGTAAAAGTAAATAAAAAGAATACACAGATTCCAAATCTCCATCGCCTTACGGCAGCAGCGACCCCGTCACGGCCTGTCCTGGCCGCGGGGGAGCGAGTACACGGGCACACACTCAAGAAACCTGGTGCAGGTTCCTGAGACAGGGAGAGCGGGGCCAGCCTCATGTCAGCTGGGAGTCACCCTCCAAGTTCCTTACTGCAGGCACACACTCAAGAAAGCTGGTGCAGGTTCCGGAGAGAGGGAGAGCGGGGCCAGCCTCATGTCAGCTGGGAGTCACCCTCCAAGTTCCTTACTGCAGACTGCACTGCCAGTCAACACACACTGAGGACAAGCAGGACAATGGACTCACTCGAGAGATAGGGTCATTTCCAGTTTCATAATTACTTCTTCCCTACTGTCCTTTGCTACCCTAGAGAGAGGTGGGTCTCTCAAGAAAAGGGTGAGATTTTTCTGTTGTTTTTAGGCAGAGCCTTGCCTTGCTACTTAGCCCAGGCTGGCCCTGAACGGGTGAGATTTTTCTGTTGTTTTTAGACAGAGCCTTGCCTTGCTACTTAGCCCAGGCTGGCCCTGAACTAACTCACTATGTAGTTAGTCTCTGCTGGTTATGAACTACAGGCAAATCTCCTGCTCCAGTCTCCTGAGTGCAGAGATTACAAGTCTGCCCCACCACACAGATTTGAATCTTTTGATAAACGTTAGGGAGGTCCGGTCCTGGGGCAAATTTGGAGAAACACAGCCTGAGAGGCACCAGAGGGTAGATGTGGTGATAGATTGTGTACCCTAATAAACAGACTTCACGTTACAGGTAGACAGCGCCGGGGACCAGTCAGAGAGAAGCTGCCGATGGCAGCGGTCTCTGTCCTTCTCATACCACAAGGGACAGACACATCTCTCAATTCACATCTGGAAACCAAAAGCACTGCTTCAACCTCTGGCGGTGATTTAGGGCCCAGGACCCTGAAAATGTTCCCACTGCCTGCTTCAAGCAAGTGAACACTGAGATTTGAAAAACCCCAAAGTGTTCATGGTTTTCTTCTCCCCAGATGGAATCACTCTCTTGATCTCGTTAGGCACGGAGGAAGAAAGAATGCGTCTGAGGGCCACAGAGGCTGCGTGCGCCGCAGCCGGCCCTTGCCCGACACCCAGCCCGTGGACACACCTAGCCGCACCACGTCACCGCAGTCGGGGTCTTGAGCCACCTGCAGTAAGGTCTCTTCCACATCCCTGTTCCTCCCAGGAGGGTCCATGATGTGATTGATTTGCTGCTGTAAGGTTCTGGGCAATGTCATCAGCTGAGTGAACTGTCCTTCTGGGCTTTTATCTATCTGGGAAAGAGAGAGAGAGAGAGAGAGAGAGAGACAGACAGACAGACAGACAGAGATGACGTCTTCGCAAGTGCTCTCAAGTCTAGAACGCAGCAGGACACATGGATTCTATTTAAAAACCCCACAGAAAGACGCTCACACTATGTGGGACTCCCATGCATACATCTGTAATTAAAAAAGGGTTTCTCTCCTCTGGGGTAGGTAAGCACCACACCTACCCCAGGTGGCAAAGGAAACTTGAGCATTTATTTACATGGTCAGGATTACAGTCCCTTCAAAAAGGACAGTCCTGGTTCTAGAATATTTCACTTCTTCATGAGTAAAGAAGAAAAGCCTTTTAAACATTAAAAAAAATTATTTTATTTATGCAATGGTGTTTTGACTGCACGTATGTCTGTGCGCCACGTGTGTGCCTAGTTCCAGAACAGCCCAGAACTGGGTGTCAGATCCCCTGGAATTAAGAGTTAGACAGTTTTGAGCTACCATGGAGGTGCTAGGGATTGGATCCAGGTCCTCTACAAGAAGAGCTCTTAACCACTGAGCCATCTCTCCAGCTCCCAGAGAAACCTCTTTGGGGGATCAGTTTCTGACTTGCAGTTTACAACGTTCTGCTTGTCTTAAACCAGCAGCTGACGGAGGCGGGGCTGCGGCTAACAAGTCCGGATCAAACCCAGCGCTCAGGTTCTCCTTCCCACGCTGAATGCTGTGAGGGAAGTGAGTAGGAGGCCATGGGATCGGCATTTGTGCCTCTGCTTTGGGCCTCGATGCTGTTCTTCACAAATGACAAAGGCCGCCTCACTCTGACCCTCCAGAGCACAGGAGGTGAGTGGCTGTAACTGGTTATTGTAACTTAGTTGTCACTACTTGTTACACAGGACTGAGCCACCCAGCTGGTTCTGTTTCTAATGCAGTCTAAATACAGCAAGTTGTTCAAGGACAAAGACAGAAATAAAACTATGTATTGCTGGAAACCCCTGAATCAAAAGTTAGCCCCACTACCGAGACCAGACCAGCTCCCTAATACAGTGTATTTGCTTCACAGAACTAAAAATATGAAAACAGGCAAGTGACACGGAGTGCAGCGGCCTGCTGTTTGCAGCCGCCGCCACCGCAACCCCTTCCTCAGCAGCACCTTCACAAATGCTGAGATTTTAGCATCGGAGACAAGACCAGTCTCAGGGCCAGGTGAGAAGGCTCAGCAGCCTGGTGGCCCGAGTTCCACCCCCAGGATCCATGTCAAGGCAGGAAAGAACCAACTCCACAAAGTCATGTGGGGCCACACACGCATCACTTAAGGTCAGGGCCATCCTGGTCTACATAGCGAGTTCTGGGCCAGCCACGACTACATAGTGAGACCCTGTCCCAAACATTGACAACAAACAAAGAAAAGGAACAGTCTCAGGATGAACGCGTTCACTTGCCTTGCTGTTTAAGTAGGTTGGTCAGAGGTAGAGACCTGGCCTCCTGCCCTGAACTGGAAGAACTCTGAAGGGCTCTCCAGCTCCCAGCAGCCTCACAGAGCCAGATGAGGCCCTTGGGTGCAGAAGCGCCTGACCCGAGATTGGCACTAGGAGTGTTCCCATGAGCAAACGTCATGGAGGCATGTTAGAGCTGCCACTCTCTCCCCGGCCAAAGCAGTACGAGAAAGTAGATTCACACCCCAGGAGGGAGATTAGTGCTACCTGTACACACGGAAGATGTAGGGGTGTGGTGGCCATTTTGTGTGCCTCGATTAATGTGCCGTGCTCAGCTACCCGGTCAAACACCAGTCCAGATGTCGAGGAGAATGAATAATTAGACCAGGCGAGTGTAAATCAGCTGACCACCCTCCATCACAGTAGGGTAGGCTCAGTGAGCAGCTGAAGGATACAAGAGAAACGTCCATGGTCCCTTGAAGAAGGCAGTCTGCCTCTAGACTCAAATCTACAGCATCAACTCTTCCCTGGGTCTCCAGCCTGCTAGCCTGGCCCACAGATTGATGAACTAATAAGTGGTCTCTCTCCTACCCAACCTCCATCACCCCAATGCCATCTCTCTAGAGAGCCTCAGCAAAAATAAATAAATAAATAAATAATAATAATAATAATAATAATAATAATAAGTGTTGACGGCCCCCATCATGTCCCCAGGAAGTCTGGTCTTTACAAGAACTAAATGAATCCTAGAGGGGAGTTCCAGCCCAGGACTGTAAACCCCAGCAAGCAGAAATCCTGACCAGAGGGCTGGATGTAGCTCAGTGGTAGAATTCTTGTCTAGTACGTGTGCGGCATGGCTTCAATCACTACCAACCCGGAAACCATAAATAAGGAAGGCATACACACACACCAGCTCTTCTTCTGGGAGTGCGGAGTCAGGGCCCGCACAGCTCACCTCTAGTCGGCCTTGCTGCATTTTATATACCACCTGGGGGTCCTCCTGGAGTATGTTCTCATAGAGCTCTCGGAAGTGGGCCACGTTGGGCTTCACGATGTTCAAGACTTTGGCTTTCTCCTCGCCAATCACCATGCGAAAGTCACCTAGTTAAAACAAGTAGGAAGGTCAGTCCTGAGACGGGTTCACACCTGACCCACGAACAGCCGTGGCTCGCTGGAGCAGTGTGGCAGGATCCTCACAGAACACCTTCTCTTTTAAAATGCCCATCGTGGTACAGAAGGCATTGGACAGTTTGGGGAAAAAGAGCCTCTGAAGTCATGGAACCCTGTACGCCAGCTGCCGTCCAGTGATCCTCTCACAGAAGTCACCGGCCTGGCCGTGAGAGCTTGTTTTTCCACTAAGGAAACCCTTAGGTTGGCAAACATGGACATCCTGCCTATGACTGTCACTATGGGTTCCCAGCACCCACGTGACAGTCACAACCAACCACCTGTAACTCCAGATCTGGCACATTCAACACCATCTCTGGCCTCTAGGGTACTGCATGCACATAACACAAAGGAACACATGCAGGCAAAACACTCATTCGCATAAAATATACCTTTAACAATTTCAAGTGGAAAGAAATGAAGGATGTAACATTTGCTACAGGATGAATTTCGGGCAAAATAATTACTCTGAAAGAAAAAGAGTAACTTCTATCTTGTTTACTTTTGACTTTCTGAGTCAGGGCCTTATACAAGCCTAGGTTGGCCTAGAACTTGCTATGTAGCCCAAGGTGGTCTTCAACTCTTGATTCTCCTGCTCTGCTGGGGTTCTAGGCACATGCCACCAGACCCACTGGAACAACTTTTGAAGCAAATGAGAAGTGACCTCTCTGCTCCTGAGGATGACCGGCCAGTCCCAGAGGAAGCACAGTGAACTGGACCGCTTGAGTGAATGCAAGAGGCTGGTGGGCTGGGGAGGGCATGTGCCCCAGGGGTGGAGCACTCTTCTGGCTGGCTCAAGGCTCCGGGTTACATCCTGGTGCTGCCAGGGAAGAACAGGTAGGACTCCAGGTGAAGTCCCATGAGCGATGTCCTGAAGCCCCTGTCGGGCAGACAGACGCCACAGCTGCCGAAGAGGGTCCTTGGGAGGACGGTGAGAGAATCTGTCACTCAAAAGAGGCACCTCTGGGGGGAAAGAGCACTGTGGTAATTACATCAGAGCCTATATTACCTTTGCCAACTTCTTTTCTTGGAGGGAGAAGGTTTCTAAGAGGCTATGGCCTGCCATAGTGGAATTTTCTTGAGCAAACTGGTGGCTTCTGGGGGAAAAGAACATTTATGAAGCTGTCTGCAACAGGATGAGTGTGGCTCCCAGGCTCATGTTGGGGTGTAGTCTCTACTGTGAGGAAAGAGGGTGGAGACTGTCTGACCGTGGCCTTTGGAGTGGCCCTGACTAGACAGGGTCCTCATGGTGGGAGTTCCCAGGACTGGATATGGTGGCCTCAGAGGAATACTGAGCAGAAGATAGTTATAAACCTGCTCTCACCCCATGTGTCATCTTGGGACACTGCCAGCAAGGTCACCAGATGAGACCCTATGACCTTGGCCAGAACTGGAAGCCTAAGCATCCTTCCTTAGTAACTGCCCAGCTTGGGGTATTATACTACCAGCAACAGAAACAGACTGAGCCAATGCCCGATGATAGCATGTACTGCAGTGAGGAGTTCGACACACTGACGTTTAAGCATCAAAGGCCCAACTTCCACTATAATATGATGGACATGCAGCTGAGGAGGCGAGCCTTAGAAAAACAGCCTTCCAAAGAGGAGGCTTTTTTTGTGGAGGCTGACCTTGGTACAGACCAAGTCTCCTACTCAAGTCCCTATAAGCTGCCCACATTCGGGTGAACTTGCTTTTTCATTACTATTTACACAGTGAACACCAAGGGACACTGCTAAGGGTGTCAAGACATTGGTTGTCTCAATGCTGCCGTTGACATCACGATCTGCCAAAGTCCTTTCGGAAAGCAGTCAGTCGGTAGAGGCATCTCTGGAGAGGAAGCCTGAAGACGGCCGCAGTGGAGATCAGATGGTGGTGTCTCCCGAGCACCTGGCAAGCAGCGGTACCATCCCAATGCTCACACCATCCCATCTACAGTGCATCTTCTCGGGCAGAGAAGACTCAACTCCCAGGGAGAATGCACAGCAACAAAAGGTAGAAGATTAGGTCACGTGCCTCGGACTTTCCAGGGTGCAAATTAACATGCTACGTGTACCATACCAGAAAAATCTGCTCGTTAGGCTGAGGGTATAGAGGCTCAGTGCCTGAGTGTTTGCCTAACACACACAGGCCCAAGTGTCAGGGTTTAGGCCTGACCCTCCCACCCCCATACAAAAGTACAAGCATTACATACGCTCTCTCATTTAGTGTCAAAGCTCTCTGAAGCAGGAGCTATTTCCATTCCAAGTTAGACAGATGAGGAGACTGGGATG